ATAGTAACACAGTTTTGTATCACTGCATAATTTGATAAGCCCTTCGTTAAAACTTATGCGTAATGTGTTTCTCTGTGTGTCTCTCTCTTCTCTCTCTCGTTCGCCTTTTCACCCCTGAACTCGTACTCAGCTGCTTGATTAACGAGCTGACCGCGGGAGGGTAAGTCATCAACGTCACACGGAGGAAGTTCCGTACTGCAGCTCGGTTTACACGCTTCTTTTACGAGCTTCCTGCTTCCGGTAGGGCGCACAATTATCCTTTAAACACACACCACGCCCTAGCCGCCTTGGCACGTTGGCCAGAAGCAACGAATATCGTAAACATGTCGTCTCTTCCGCTTATTTTTCCCATCTTATCCCTCGCGGGAACGCTTCGATCGCGATATTAGCGATCGACCATCGATCACCGGTCTTCTGCTCATTTTACTCACTGCACAGTATCACGATTCCGAAACTTCTATTCCGAATAAAGTGTAGAATATTTATTTAGTTATTTTAGAAATTTAGAAATTTCTTTCGGAAAATTTTGTTAAATCATTTTCTCTATAAATGAAACGTGGAAAGTATATTTATATTAAGTATGAAAATTGGAAATTAAGTATACTAAGTTAATCGAAGATGTCGAGTATAGATGCATTTGAATGGAAAGATGGATATTTTGAATTGCAGATAAATTCGAGCACATTATTCACACGCCCCTGGATGCACAGAATTACATTTATACGAGTAATGATTTAAACTTTGTATGATGATTTTTGTTTTATCGATAGTGTATATTTGTTTATTTTATTATTTTTTTAATTGGACGATTAAGTGGCAAAGAATTATTTTTGGAAAAGGAAGATTGATAATTATAGTATGAGAACTAATGATTGTATATATGAAACGTGTAATTAATATTCATATCGAGATTTTGGCTTGGGTAAAATTTTTATAAGCAGGATTTTGTAGAAAATAATTTTGCAATTTTACTTCAGAAGAAAATTTATTTTGCAGTATATAATAAAATTATTATATTTTTGCATATTTTTCTCTATTTTGTTAGGTTGTATGTTGACACAGCATTTTTTAAAATCAAAATTATTGAACTGAGAATATTAAAATAGAAATTATTAAACTGGAAATATTAAAATCAAGAATCAAATTTATTGGACTGAGAATATTAAAATATAAATTATTACACTGGTAATATTAAAATCAAGAATCAAAATTATTGGACTGAGAATATTAAAAGAAAAATTATTGGACAGAGAATATTAAAATCAAAATTATTGGACAGAGAATATTAAAATCAAAATTATTGGGCAGAGAATATTAAAATCAAAATTATTGGGCAGAGAATATTAAAATCAAAATTATTGGACAGAGAACATTAAAATCAAAATTTTCGATTATAAGAATCTGTCAATCTAAATACCTTTAACCTGCAGTAATACAGTATTTCAAGTAAACGATATATGAGAATATCATATTCTAGCACCAATTACATTTTTAAATATCTGAATTTCGATAAATGCTTCGTATCTTTTTCGCATGAAAATTTGAACGCCGTCTTCTCATTTCTTCCCACTTTCCCATTGCCAGTCCTTCTTAGGAAATTTGTTCATTTCACCATTCGATACACACCTTCAAGCCGATTAATTCAGTCTCTGAAGATAGAATTATCATTTTAGAAATATCTTATTAGCACACTTTTGCACTCTGTACATACGAGACGTTAGACGACCGACGAGCGAAATTTTATGGGGTTATTTTACACCATGAAATTCGAAGAGACTCGAGAATCATAAATTTGCAAATTATAATCCTGTATTTTATTTATAAATTTTAAATTACTGACCAAAGCTATAAAACCAAAGCAACAATTTACAAATTTTTAAAAAATATTTTTATCTTCTGAAATTGATAGATTAAAATTGAAAATTAGGTTTATGTAAAATATTTCAAGAGAACTCATTGTTTATTGATACACAAAATATTATCTCTTCACTTTATTTCTTTTTTTTAATTTGATTTGGAGAAAAATCTAATTTTATTTATTATATTTATATTTTAATTTTATAAATTTAATTTATAAATT